ATTAAGAATTGTTGATATAATATTTTTTTATGTGAGAAGGTTACATACTAGCAATGGTTACTCCTAATGAAAATTTATGTGTATCTACAAAACAAAACACTATATTATCAATGTGTATCACTGGTACTGATACCACCTAGCATCGATTGCGAGGCGGATAAACTTATTTTGAATGATTTTTTTTACGAACGTCTTAACGCCTTTAAAAATTAAAGGCGTTAAGGATGGACATGAACAAAAGCCATGCAAGCGTAGAACATTATGGGCCGTACGCAAGCTTTGTATAACAGAAGCTTATACCTTACCTTCTTAAGGGTAAGTTAAGTTCTTAAGGGTAAGGTTCTTCCTTAATTTTATAGACGGGTTTGTTAGGTTATAGAATCGGCCAATTAAGACATTTATTTTCTCATAAGATTTACACCAAATCACTTACAGAGAAAATACAAATACTATATTATGTACAACAAAACAATTACAAACTGGCGAAGCTAGTGGACTAATTATAATAAAAAGTGGTGAAACATAAGGTAGTTACAAAAGAAATACATAAGAATTTTTACAAAGTGTGTGGTACATTCTAACTAAGCGGTAATTACCTATATTCGGAATACAAAAGGTGTTTACTTAGGTCTATAACATAGTGGCTTTAAGATTATTGACTATTAATTATGTATATGAAATATATTAAAATGGACTCATGAGCATATGAATGCAAATATATCCATACATATGTGTATTTATGTATACATGAGCATGTGTTTATGACCTTATCAATGAAAAATCTAATTTTAAGGGACTTTTCAAGATTTTTTTTAAACTGACTAGAGATTTTGTGTTTTTTATATCACTAGGTAATTTGTTATAGTATTTAGCGCCCTCATATAAGATGCCCTTTTTTCCGTAATTTGTTCAAGACGCTCGTAAGTACAAGTTATTTGCTTGTCGTGTCATTCGTTTAGTGTAATCCATGTTTTTTGTAAAGTTAATCTGTGAGTGGATATCTTTAGTAATGATTTTCCGAATAAGGATACACGTGTTATATTTATACATTTGAGCCAGATTCATTATTTTAGTTTCTTTATACAGCGTGTCGTTACCATCGCGACAATAAATGAACACACATATAGGGGATAACTTTTTAAAGTTGTATTAAACATTTAAATTCTTTAAACATCAATATTTACAGAGTTATTAAATTTTCCAAAACAAAGAATTTTAGAACACCCTTACCTATAAAAGCGTAACGTAAAGTTCATTTGTATAGGTCACAAAGCATATGAATGGGTTGAATGAATTTAAAAGAGACAAAACATACTGTTAGAAGGAGAGGTTTTGTAATGCGACGCTGTGGCGCGAGTTGTATAGGATGTTACAAATTTTGTTTCTTTTTTACTTAATTAGTTTGTTTGAAAAATATTTTTTTTAATTATGGATTTTGTTTAACGTTAATATTTTTTTATGATTATTGGTAAGTAGCGTTAGACGTGTGTTCATTTATTGTCGCGATGGTAACGACATGCTGTATATTTGTTCAGTAGGTGTATAAAAGTCATAATGAAATAATGATTTTATGATTTTATGATTTTATTTTGGGTTATTTGTAATTTTTTTAAGTTTGATTTTGCCGCTGATCCCCATGCTTCAATAAGATAGTCAAGGTGTGGCTTGATCAAGGAATTATAAATGACATATTTTGTATATCTCGAGAGACATTTTGATATGCCATGTATTGCCCCTATCAGTGAGTAATTTTATTGTATAAGTTTTCAATATGCGGCTTCCAGGTGAGCTGGCCAATTCGAGTTTTAAAGGATATTTAGGTTTTAAAACTTACTCCAAATATTTAGCCTGCTTCTCCCAACAGGGCGATGAGCCGAACAAGGAGATGTAGCGTAGTTTGCTGTTCTGACGAACTTGGGTCAGTGGAAGGCTGAAGGTGACTTAGCCCATTTGTGTGTATTGCTACAGTCGTTTCGGGGTTAACGTCGATTCTTTATTTGGCCAAACAGTTTCTGTGGCGATTGGTGGCGCTTTGGAGACTAGTGTACGCAGGTGAACATAGGTGTTCAGCAAAAAGACTAAAAGGGAGAGGCAGGCACTTTGAAGAACGCCCGCTGTGAGGTACATGTAGACCTTGCTAACGTCAGCACTGTTCTCTTGGCCGCATGTTGGACGAATAACAGTTGCGGTCGCACCCGCGTTTTCTTTTTAATAGGTGGTCGGGGTACTTAAAGTATATGGTGTATCTAAATATTTTATTAAATCACGTGACTACGGCCTTAGCGCAATCGAAACTACACAAAGCTCAAGGATTATTATGGGAAATTATGCTCTCAGTTCAGAAACTATATGAAATGTAATCTAGCATTTAACCGAGGCTCACTTCTTAAAGGTTGTCAACGCAATTACAACCTCTTAGGTACAGATGTCTAAGGTGATAAAATAAAAACGGTGAGCCAGTGGAAAAGCGAATTCCGAAACTCGAAGGTCATTAAACGGTGGCCGGGGACGCCCCGAAACGATACTTTGAGTTTCGAAAAACCAACTTTGAGTGGAGCGATTAAAGCCACGGCTAAACATGCCACTAACTACCGAGAACGTACACCACTTCGTTTAGAAACGACGCGCCGACCAACGTCCAATGTTTTTTCGCTACGAACGAGACCACTCGTTGGGGGCTGCGAAGGCAAACAGTACTCGCCATCTCTGCCATTGCTGCCATTTCGTTAGCATTGTCCAAAGTTACGTTCGCTTCGAAAATTGTATAGATACAAAATCAAACGAAGTACGAGTAATAGCTTTTTCGATAATCAGTACCTTTAAAATATTGAAACATTTAAAATATTCTTACAATGTATAGGTTGATTTCAAAAGAGATTAAAAATAGATGGCCCGAAGGAAGAACTTGAAACAGGATTACCAAGATGCCTCGCACATTTTGCCTACTCTATTTTACTTCTAGAAACGACATGGCTAGAAACAAGAGCGCAAGCCTTTAACAATATGTAATACCAGCTGCTGCCCGCGACTACGTCTGCGTAGAATAGGCTGAAGGTGTAACATTAAGCAGAAAGACAGATATACATAAAATATGTATAAATATGTATATAAATTATAGCCTTTCTCTTATTCTGATATATAAGCTATATCATTGTAAAGTTTAATTAAAATCAAACAGTAAGTCTTACTGAGACCAAATTATATTTTCGGGCCAGAGCCTTGCCTGTTGATAGGCTACCGCTCGAGACCGTTCATGAAATCCCCTGTTATTGAAAGAAATCAGTGAAGTCTTGAGAATTCCTTTATACTACTAGTATTTCATGTATGTATGTACACTATACATACATGAAATACGTACAATCCGATCTCGATTTTATGACGTTAAAATTATTACGGCCTTTGAGAAAACCAAAAACGAGGTAACATTGTGATGTTTACATACATGTATATGCGTACTCATTCTACAAACATGTTGCACTGTTCCCTGCCCCAGCTAACCCTCGTCATCGTTGTCAAATAATTGACACTGCAATTATTGGTCGCGCACGCTGCTTAACAATTAGGACACCGATAATTTTGCACTGTGGCGACAGCTTTTCTCCCACGCCACAATTTTCCTTCGGTTTCATTCAACTCGCCTAACAAGTCGCCTCACTTGTTGAGTAACGTACCGCAGGAAAGTTTAATAACTCCGCGTTAAGTTTACTGCGTGAGTAAAATATAAAAAAAAATACTTAATAAAATAGAGTAGGCGTTTACTGTCATGCTTATTTACCACTATCTTGCACTTATTTGACTTAATTTACTATGACAGTACCTCGATGACCGAGCTTAGCTTCGATTTTTCTCACACAAGAAGGAACTTGAAAAAAAAAGGGAAAGTGAAAAAAAAAACCATCCGGACTCGAGAACCTGGACTGGACCGATTTCCCACCTAAACTATTATAACCTTGTAAATGGTGGCGAAATTTACCTTCGTAATCTAATGATATAAATATACACATAGATATAAACACAGATAAAACAACGTTTTCTAAAAATGGAAACTTGCCAGATCTATTGTTCGCCCCTGAAACCCCTAGCGTACTAAACATGAATATATCTACATATACAAGAATTTCTCGTTTAAATATATTAGATGTCATTATCCTTAATTATAAGACATCTAAATATAAAAAGGAATAAATATTCAAAATTATAAAAATTTTGTAAATTTTATGAAAGAGGGCAATATTTTAAATTTATCGTAGACACGGATGAAACTTCTTTTATACCTTCTAGCAAAAGCGACAAGATTAATGGATTCGTTAATGAGAGTAAAAGTTCTTTTGTCTCGTTTGTTTTACACTCGTGTTTATTTAAGTAATTTAATCTGAAAGAATTTTTATTTCAGCGTCTCCTGTATAGACGTTTTGCAAAAGTTACTTTATAAAAACTGTCTTATTTCAAATCATGTAATGAACATATTACTCGAATATACGGGCTATATTATGTGAAAATGTTTTCCATACGTAATTAAAACAAAAATGTTATACTCATTCCAATTCTCTGGATAAGTTTTATTTGTTTTACAAGCCGGACGTTCCAACAGCAAAAGAAATTAAGTAAGTTTTTGAAATGTTTAAAACAAGTTATTTACATTTGGTTGTCCTCTTTTCGTCTGGTGTCAAATGTCTAAAAGCTGATGGTGCAACAATACCCCGCTCCCATGACGTAACATGGGGTCAGTTAACTATTTTGGTATATCCGTACGGTTGCAAATGCGTTGCCACCTTTAAATAAAATGGGCCCCGGCTACCTCACTCACCAGACAAAACGCAGAAGTGTAACACTTCTACTTTACGCCAGTCTTCTGTGAGGTCGTTGTACTTACCCGGACGGACCTGCCCATTCGTGCAACAGTGTTGCGTGGCCTTGATAACGTGCAACCTGACGCTGGTTGCTCCTAAAATTCCTCGTCTATGGCATCATTCAAAACTGCGAACTGATCTTTGTTACAGAAATGTGGTGTATAACCTCAGTCTCACAGACCTGACAGAACAGCGGCGGCTGGTGTGGTACTCGCCGGCCAGCGACGTCCAGATGTGCGTCGTCAAAGGGAAAGATGAGGTAAGCCACAACGTGCTTTTTCCCTTTTTCTTATGGCACAGTAGAACAAAAGTAACCGACATAGCTCAGAGGATTAGCGAGCTGAAGTGGCGATGGGCCGGCCATATAGCTCGTAGAACGAATAACCGATTTTTTTATGATTTTTAAGTTGTAAAGCGAGCAGACGGTTCACCTGATGTTAAGTGAATACCGTCGCCCATAGAAATGTGCTACACCCGAGGGTTGCAAATGCGTTGACAACCTTTTGAAAATTTGGGCTCTTGAATGGCATCGTACTGGCCATCGTAGTGTAAGACGTCCTCTCACTACTAGGAGTGACGACCTGTGCAAGTGTGCGGGAAGTCAATGGACGCAGGTGGCTCAAGATCGTGTTTCGTGGCAGTCTGTGGCCTACGTCCAGCAATGGACTCTACTAGGCTGAAATGATGGTGATGGACGACATATTCGTGTCGTCGTCATACACCAGCTATGTTGTTCTCCCGAGTCCGTGGGTCCCATGCCCGTCGAACGTCTTACGCCGAAGCTGTAAAAGCCGGGCTAACAGCAAACAAGTCACAAAAAATCGTGTTTTTTTTTTTTGGAAATTTAATTTAAATCCGACGAGCCGTTACGGCGTAAACGAACAGACACTATTTTAGTACACTAGAGAATTTACAATTCAATAAAATAGGATTAAATTTTAGTCATACACAAGCCCAAACATATCCTGTATATTTACAATTGCCTAGATAGCAATACTCTAACAATCTCTTAGTTCTGAAAAAGTATCCATTTAAATGACTAAGATTTTATGTTCTGCCTTAATACAGACAAAGAAATAGTCAAAAAATCTGAATAATTTCTATGACAATTTGGAGGTATAAAACAATCATTTTTAATTAAATAAAAGAAAATGTCAATAAGGAAAAAGAACAAAAATAAAAGGAACAAAAATATCTTACAGGTACCTGATAGAATATAAGAACAGAAGACATGATCGTACCTATTAAACCAAACAGGACGCCATAGCTTTTATTTTAAATCCGCTAATAGATCGATGGGTCGAAGTCGTGGGCACATACAAGTTATTAAAATAAAAGAGAACGTACACGGGCGTGCAATACGATATACAAAATACTTTCCGAATTAACCCCGATAATGATATCCAGGTACAGAGCGGCGAAGTCGTATCGCAATATTAAATACGCTTAATTCCACCCACCGCCATCTTGCGGCGGTTAATTGGATTCGGAGCAAACGGGTCGCGTATGAAACTGAATCTTGTACACCGGAGCGTCTATCTGTAGGAAAATTAAAAACTCAATACACCGAAAGTCAGCTGAAAATATGCGTTACGAACTGTATTATAACAATATTAAAGCAGATTATCAAAATATGTAAACACTTACAAGTAACGTTAAAACATTTAATACGTTATGAAATGGTAACAAAAATAGGTCATAGAAAGGACACCCAGATAAAACATACAAAAGTTCTCTTTTATTGCCGGCCATTTCAAGTCGAATAAACTAAAAGTTTTATTACTCACGAATGATGTTAGTTATTTCCTTGCTAACGCCCCTGTAATAACAGTATAATTGATATCGCGTAGGTAACGATTTTCGAGTGAAAATTATAGCGCGATTTCATTTCAAATCCAATTTATGGATAAAACATTCATTTTCGAAAACATTTCAATAATTAATTCTGCAGTCCCCGACTGCAATACTGCTAATTAGTAATATCTTTAGGCGGTCGTTTTAATTTTAGTGAAATAATTACAGGAATTAATATCGCTCCACGCGTACGAAGCTTTTTAAACGAAACGCTAATTTAATTTGCATTTTTTTTCTCACTAACATTAATTTGAGCACGAAAAGTGCAGGCTTTTTTAATATAATATAATTAGCTGTGTTCCGCGTATATCGTTTGTGTTAAATGTTACGTCGTCATGATAATAAAACATATGCCATGTTATAGCATGATGCTCCAATTTGTTGTAAAATGGGGTAGACTTTTAGTGCTGAGAATTTTCTTTTATATAAATTAATGTTACCCAATGACTAGAGAAAATCATACTTCTAATAATACTTTAAATCGACAGTCTAATTAGCTTCTGTTTGGTAGAAAATAATACAGTAATGTAAAAATTGGGACAACTGACCAACTTATATCCAATCATTGCTGCAATAATTTGGTTAAAAGAAAACGCATTGTAACGTCGGCAGATAATGATTTTTGAAAAATTCTCAAAAGCAAATGCCCGTCCGATTTGTATAGCAAATTTCTTTGTTTCTTAATCAAAAATATTTTTTATTTAAATAACTATTGCCCATTCCGCTAGGAATTATTCCCAAGAAGGGAAATAAACATCCAGATCCAATTAGGAAAAATTATTAAAAAACGTAGTAATCGAACTCAGATCCCCAACGCACGAAGGCAATAGCTTAGCAACTGCGTCACCGAGTCATCCTTTTTCTACACAACTGTGTGCAAAAACAAAATCTTCGTTGGAATCAGCCACAAAAGCGTTCATGCAACTCTGCGCACTCCCCAAGGCTTCCCATGACCACAAGCTGATTGCTATGCGCCTGAGGGGCAGTACCCATGCTCGAATGGTAAGCGACGACTCGGCCAACGAAGAGCTTAAGTGCATATCATTATAAATTCAGATTATGTTTATATGAAGATATCTCTACATATTATCTCTCCACAGGCTTTGACTATATACTTGTCTAGATGGGACATTGCTTCACTAGTGACGCGCTAAAACTGTCTCCGATTGCGTGATATGTGTGACCGTTAGTGCACTTATTGTAAACAAATTGTCAAGTTATGCGTGTTTTAGTGTGCGTGTGTATGTCTACTTCAAATTATTAACTTAAGTTTTCCCCATTATTTAATAACGTCAAAGTTAAACAAAATAGGTTTAATAAAGTAATTATTTTCTTAATTAGTAGTTTTATTCAGTTTAGTAATAACACAAAATACAATGAAAAATACAGTAGTTTATACATTAAAATCTGAAACCCAAAATAAAAGAAAGAAATGTGTTTCATTTATTTTGTGTAGGTAAATGATTATTTACTTATCAAATAAATAGTGTACATTTTAAAATAATAACGTTCGGATCGAAAGATGATGTAATGATATTTATATTTTGTCTCCCATATGAAAATATGGGAGACAAAATATAACCCAAAACTTACTTGACAAAACTGACAACACCGGCTAACCTACGAAATAACAAATTAAAAAATCATATTTTCTCAAATTAATAGTGATTAAATAACAAAACTTACCAATGAAAAATGGTCTTGGTATTATAATACAATTTTCCCATATAATTGCGACACGATTTGATAGCACAACGCGTGTAGACACGCGTTTAACACAATTTAGTAGACTTTTTTGCGCCGTTCAGTATAGCTTACAGCAATTCGCTATGCTGTAATTTCACAATTGTTTCATCAAATTTAATTATTTAAACACCACCATAAGCGTATGTTCGCTGCTATTGAAGAGAAATAAATGAATAAAATTAACGTTTTATATAAAAAATTACTTTTAAAAACTTCTATAATTTCATCTATTTACAATTTTTTTACCATTCAGTAACCGATCACAGTATTTTGCTAAAACTTCGCACCGGCCATGTAAGTAGTACAGTATTATTAGAATTGTAATTGCAAAACTTTGTATTCCACGTACTGAAGATGGAATTTTTTTTTTTGCAAATTTTATTTTAAATATTTATTTTGAATTATTACATAGCTAGTGACTGGTTTCTGTTCTATCTGATGAACCCTGGTCTTAGGTGTTAAAGTAAAAGGAGCGTCGTGTAACCATTAATTTTTATACGTCGTTTTTAAAAACGGTAAATTGAAATGAAGTTGAAATGATATCGGTCGAAAAATGTAGAATGAACGTGGAACTTTCATATCGTATCTCGGCCTTTCATGTCCGTTGTAAAAAAGATTGCAATTTCAGATAACATATAAATTCTTAGACTATCCAGAGCCATCTCTTCATACCTAAGCAATAGATATTTTATACGGTGACCGTATACCGGATATCACAATCCGGGTATCCTGTTTAATATTCTTGTTAACACTGTTATACAAAATCTTTCCAACACTTTAAATTTCATTCTTAATAACTAAGTGTAAGTGTTCTTGTATTAACGTGAACACTATTATTAATTATATATAAAACTTTACAATTGTTGTCCCGAATTTTGAAACACTTGAAATGAAACCGGAAGCGATAAAATTTGTTAAATAGTTTTATTAAACAATATTTTATTTCTGGTTAAATAATAATGATAGTTAAAAAAACTTTTAATATATAAAATTAAAGCTGACTAATAACACGATATATATAACTGAGTTCTGTAATAATCATCTTACTTACAAATACAATACAAAACGAAACAAATGTTTAATCCATGACTTCACCAACATGTTTACCAAATTAAAGCAGTTAAATTAAATTAAATGGCGCGTCAACTGTAAGTTACAGTGTCGTAACTTTTATAATTCTAATTCACTCCAATTGCTTATTTGCATTTAAACAGTCCTCAGGCGCCTATTCCAAATTCCGATTCACCGAATGGGCAGAACACGGTCGGCGGCTTTAGGCAATAAGTATCCGAAAATAGAATTCCGTTTCGCATCCAATGGAGTTTTCGGCGGTGTTCGAAAGTTGTAACCCGCCGGTGGAACAGCGCAGAAGAGCTCCGAATCGTAGCGCACGCTCTCGGAAACATTGGCATTGGCAAATGGCGTAATGGAGAGAATGGGAGATGCGTTCTACAGCTGGCGGAATTCGAGATATCTACGTATTCGGCCGTGTACCGAGCACACACGTCAATGTTGATGCATCGGAGAAAATTATTATAGAGTACACTATGAATACAAGGGAAAATCGCTTCTCTATACAACTCAAGTTCAGAGTGCAAGGTTTGAGCAAATGTGAAATGAATTTCGCGCCATTTTGTATCATGTAGCCGCCATATTGCA